CTCCTCACATTGGGCTAAGAGCCCAAGGGGGTCAAGGTCTTGTGACCGTCGTGGTCCATTACAAGCATAGTGCTTGGTATCGTATTTATTTTTAAGAGCTGTTCAACAACATTTAGAAAGTTAATTTATCAACAAGCTCACAATGATGCTGTCACATGTAGTTAACTAGTTGAATCTTTTACAGTTCCAATGCTGATGGATGAAGAGAGTGACCCCCCAAAGGAGAATGAATTCTATAGCTTGACTGTGTTGCTAAAGTAAGTTGGGTCCTGTCTATATGGAATACAAACTGTTGTATTTTCACTACTGAGCATTTATCAATGGATTGGGAATCAAGTCTGTAAACTGAAACACTCCCTTTACAAAAATATGTGCATGTCATTTGATATACTGGGTGGTTGGGAAAGTCGTGACGTATTTTTCCACGTTCTTCTATGCAACGGTGCAGCAGGACTTTTCCAACGACCCAATGCGTATTTATTTTGCTTACATGTAAACACCCGTTTTACACAGTAAAGTGATGTGGGTGGGATGATAATTTTATGCTATGGTCCTTTGATGAATATTTTATTTCTTTCTTCCATGAGAGAGAGACAGAGAGAATGAGTGACAGAGAGACAATGCTCCTAACAGGGTCTGGGCAGTTAGATCCACCCCTAGCTCAGAAAGCCCAAGACCATGGGGAGCCACACGATCTCGGGAGGTCTCTGGGTGTGAACCTGGGTGTGACCCATGTAGGTTAGCCACTCAGAGTGCCACAAGTAACCACTGTACCACTGTCCAGCCCTCGTCTTAAAACATAGTCCTATTTAGAGTGTTTTAAAAACAAATGTTCTTTATCTAGGACAGGGTTACCAGCTCAAATGTCCCTAAGGGTCATCAACTGAAGATCATCATCTAAATACAGACGATCAACTCAAGAATATCCCCGGGAAGGAACTAATAGGGTCTGTCTCTTGACAAAGAGAAATGGGAGGCCAATGATAGGTACGGAAGGAAAATTTCCTCTTCACAGCATGCTTTTTTAAAAGTTATTTATTTTTAACTTTTGCTATAGGGTACATGTGCTTGGCAAAGAAAGAGAGAGAGAGAGTGAAAGTAAGAAAGTACCTTCCCCTCTCCGGCTGCCAGGGAAGATGGCCATGCCATAATCCCTTCTCCTCCATTCTCCTCCCACCAGGATTTTGGGCACGTAGGCACACTCGGCCCAGTGTGTTTTTCAAACTGCAGGTCCAGGACTTGAACCACATGGCCTTATAGGGTCCAGTTGCTTAATCTTCACACTACCTGCTAGCCCTTTCAACCTTTAATATTTTTTCTTTTATTTTAAGAGAGTATTTTTGTTTTTGTTTTTACTATAAGGCCATTACACTCACTGGACAGACAGAGAGACAGAAAACAAGACATCACCCCCCAGGGGGAATAGCTATGCTGCAATCCCTCCTCCTCCCTTCTACTCTTGAGATTTTGGGCATGCACACACACGCGCCCAGCGTGAGTTTTAAGCCGCTGGGTCCAGGGCTCAAACCACAGTCAGCTATGTTTGAGTCCAGCAACGTAACCATTATGCCATCTGCTGGTCCCCATTTTTTTTTTCTTTAATTGCCAGAGAGCACATGCACTCACCAGAGAGAGAGAGAGACAGAAAGAGGAAGAAAGTACCCCATGCCTCCATGAGGCATAGTGATCCCACAATTCCTTCTCCATCCACCCAGACTTGGGGCATGTGTACATACAGGCCCGGCATGTTGTTCAAGCCACCAGGGCTAAGTTTCAAACAGTACTTGGCCATGGGGACTAATACTCCCTTAACTACCAGGTTATGAGGCCGGCCTTATATGTTTTATATTGAATGCATTATTTATCTACACAATTTGTCTTTTGACTCCAAGTAACCATCATTATTAAGGAATATGATCCTAGGGTTTCCAGATCTGATTTTTCAAAGAAATTAGAAATAGGAAAATTCATACTTTTACATAAAAACTCATGATTTTTAAGAGCTGACTTTATTCAAAATTTAGCCCATAGGCCAGGCCATATCTGGCTTAGAGGCCTACCACTTTATCATCTGTAATCTAAAACTCGATGTGTGGCTTATTGTTTCAAAACAGTAAATAGAAGAAAACACAGAAATGAAACTCAATGAAAACTGTCTCATCATCAATTTAGTCCGTATTGCTCGCTCTCTTTTTAAATATTTGATTTAATTATTTAATTTATTTGTAATTTGACCAGAGAGAGACAGAGAGAGAGATGGGAAGTCAGGAGGCAAACCACCAGGTTTGGGACTTGAATCACAGTCAGCCATGTAGTAGTCCAGAACCTTAATCACCACGCCACCCACCGGCTCCCCCTGCTATTGCTCTTTTAAACTTCCCCTTCTTTTTGGAATCTTCGAAAAAACTGTTAATGTTTGACCAATCGAAATGCAAAACACACCAGGTCAGATAAAGGAATTTGCCCATTATCCTAACATCTGCTCTGTTCTAAAAAGTGAAATGTGGTCAATTTCAACTTGTGATTCTTCTAGCCAACTAAGGAGAAATGTGGTAAGCTATTTTGAGTTGATAGGCAAAACCATACACATACACACACACACACACACCCATCGTGTTAAACCATTTCACGGCTCTGAAGATCTTCAGGTTACTTCTCCCATGTGATCAGGCAGGCCAATGCTACTCAAGAGGCAAAATGATAGCCACAATCAATGCGATGTTCTGAACCCTTTCTGAGAACCCAGTCACAGTCCTCGGGGATTAAAAACAAAACAAAACAAACAAAGACAAACTCAAAGTTTCTCAAAGACCTGCAGAGAGACCATTATCTTCCAAATAAAGAGGCCCCCCATGGTTCTAACTACTGGCCATAAGTAGATTATATGTGTTTATTGCCCAGAGGACACCAAGCAAGTTAAAGAAGAACTGGTTTCAATCTCCTTCTGGCATTAAAGATGTAATGCTGGCCTCCATAATGTACCTGAAAAATCTCACCCCAATCTGCTCAAAGTTCCAGGGGGTTCAAACACGATATTTCCACACGGCTTCCAGATACTCTGGCTTTATCCCTCCAAACAGCAGCCTTTTCACAACTGACTGATCCAGTCCTGGGCCAGCCCACCTACTCCTTGACCACCTGCAGGCTGCCCAGTGGGGAGGACATACCACCTATAGTGGAAGGGATCCACAAACAGAACTCAGAGCAGCCTTGCAGTGTACCACTTCCACAGGCCACAGCCAGCCAAGGTTCTCCTTATGTAACAACTCATGGAAATGCCATGCCAGGACAGGCCGCATTTCCCCGCAACGGCTCTGTCACCCAGGGTAACCAAGGGGAAGAGATGTTGACTTACTCTCATGACATCTCATCCACCCACTGTGAGGAACTGAGTATTTTGACAAGCGATCCGAACAGTCACCATACATAGGATTCCTTTTCTAGAAACAGTTGGTGAGTCAAAACGATAAGCTAGTTTTTAAACTCAGTCTTTAAAAAGAAATAATGCAAAGAACTTAAGCTCTGTAAAATATTCTGGCTGAGAAGAAATGAAGTGTAACTCTCTCAGATGGTAACTGGGTAGTCAATTCACGGTGGGATTCACGGGCCTAGGAAGACAAGTCGATCTATAGAATATAAGCGGGGTATGCTTTTTCCAAAGAACATGCCCAGAGTCCAATATCGTCGCAGACTTGCATTCTGTTTAAGCAGACCTTACGAGACAACTCTCCAATGGACACCCGCAAGCAGATCTTCAGTAAAGACCAGAGATGCCCGGAAATCAACTTCCTCATCAGTGACCTTGTGCACCAGACACCTATGGACTTCCAGCCATTGCTCATAACCAGCAGGCGGATTTAGTGATATTTACTCCAAGGAGAAAAAGAAAGTCTAAATTAATCACTTTCTTCCTTTTCCGTAATACTAGACATCCAACAGGCTTCAAACATCTCAGACCTCGGTACGGGCATAGTGTTTGGTTCTTACCTCGGCTGCCTGGGTCTCTTGGTGCAGCAGCGTAAGGCCGGTCAAGTCTTCTAAGAAGGAATGTGAAGAATTAAACACCTTCGCTAGGAAATCGAATCCTTCTCGTTCGTATTGATCAAGAACCTGTAAAACATTTATATTTTTAAATGGGGGACTGCAGATCCCGGCGGCCGGCCCAGGGGGGAGGACATACCCCCTATAGTGGAAGGTATCCACAAACAGAACTCAGAGCAGCCTTGCAGTGTACCACTTCCACAGGCCACAGCCAGCCAAGGTTCTCCTTATGTAACAACTCATGGAAATGCCATGCCAGGACAGGCCGCATTTCCCCGCAACGGCTCTGTCACCCAGGGTAACCAAGGGGAAGAGATGTTGACTTACTCTCATGACATCTCATCCACCCACTGTGAGGAACTGAGTATTTTGACAAGCGATCCGAACAGTCACCATACATAGGATTCCTTTTCTAGAAACAGTTGGTGAGTCAAAACGATAAGCTAGTTTTTAAACTCAGTCTTTAAAAAGAAATAATGCAAAGAACTTAAGCTCTGTAAAATATTCTGGCTGAGAAGAAATGAAGTGTAACTCTCTCAGATGGTAACTGGGTAGTCAATTCACGGTGGGATTCACGGGCCTAGGAAGACAAGTCGATCTATAGAATATAAGCGGGGTATGCTTTTTCCAAAGAACATGCCCAGAGTCCAATATCGTCGCAGACTTGCATTCTGTTTAAGCAGACCTTACGAGACAACTCTCCAATGGACACCCGCAAGCAGATCTTCAGTAAAGACCAGAGATGCCCGGAAATCAACTTCCTCATCAGTGACCTTGTGCACCAGACACCTATGGACTTCCAGCCATTGCTCATAACCAGCAGGCGGATTTAGTGATATTTACTCCAAGGAGAAAAAGAAAGTCTAAATTAATCACTTTCTTCCTTTTCCGTAATACTAGACATCCAACAGGCTTCAAACATCTCAGACCTCGGTACGGGCATAGTGTTTGGTTCTTACCTCGGCTGCCTGGGTCTCTTGGTGCAGCAGCGTAAGGCCGGTCAAGTCTTCTAAGAAGGAATGTGAAGAATTAAACACCTTCGCTAGGAAATCGAATCCTTCTCGTTCGTATTGATCAAGAACCTGTAAAACATTTATATTTTTAAATGGGGGACTGCAGATTTTAAACACGCGTTACGATCTTCACATCTAACAAGGACTTGTCAAAAAATGAAACTAAAATGAAAATGGAATCTGAGGATAATAATGTAATCTGCTGAAGGAAAACTGGGAGGGCTTAGTAATTTTCATCTTTTTCCTTCTTAGGAGAGATAAACATATCGTCTTCCAGGTCAGATGTCAGTTTTTTTCCAAGTAAAATAAGTTTCATGCAAATTTACTAAAAATTCTGTAAGGTGGGACCAGGAGGTGGCATGATGGTTAAGGCACTGGACTCCCACACAGCTAACTGCAGTTTGAATCCTGGACATAGCAGCTTGCTTTCTAACTCTCTCTCTCTTTCGTGCCCTGTATAAAATAAAAATAATAATAATAGTGATAAATAAAATTGAACAAATAATTATTTTACAAAAATTCTCTAAGAATTGGATTACTTTTTCTTTTCTTTTTTTTTTTTTGGAAAGGTTTTTGCAATAGGGCGTGTGCACTCACCAGAAAGACAGAGAGACAGAGAGCGAGAAATCATCCCCTAGGGGGGATGGCCATGCTGCAATCCCTTCTCCTCCATTCTCTTCTCTGGATCTTGGGCATGCACGCACACATGCCTGGCGTGCGTTTAAGTCATCAGGTCTGGGACTTGAACCATGGTCGACTACATGGGAGTCCAGCGACATAGCCATTACGCTAACTGCTGGTCCCTTGCGGTTACTTTTTCTAAAACTCACTTGTTAGAAAAGAACTAAATGAGGTATCTGCCTCTACGATGCAGCCAGTACCATGCCTGACTACAGAGCTGAAGGCCACATGCCAACCACAGTTCAGGTCCCCAGTCCAGTCGGCCTGAAAACACGTGAGGTGCATGGCTGCATGCCTGGAATCTTGGTGGGCTGGAGGATGGGAGGGAGGGGATCGCAGTGTGACCAGACCCTATGCAGGGTGTTTCTCTGCTTCTCTCTCTCTCTCGTGTATGTGCATACACTCTATCAAGGATAGGAAAAAAAAAACGTTATGGAAAAAAGGAAAGAAATAACAGGTGAGAGAAAAGCCAAGAAAAAAATTTAAAAGGATAAAGAGACAAAAGGATTTTGTCACAAACATGACACAAAAGTAGCCAAATAAACTTTTAAAGATAATTTAAAAAATGTGTTGCGGGGTGTGTGCATTTGCTGGAGATAGAGAGAAAAAGAGAAGTGAAAAAGCACTCCCCAGGGAGGATGGCATGTCACAGTCCCTCCCAGTTCTCCTCCTGGGCACGCATGCTTATGCGCCCGGGCAAGTTTCTCGAGCTACTGGGTCTAGGACTCAAATTGTGCAGCTGGCCACGTGGGATGACCCTGGGGCTGCAGCCCCAACCACCATGCCACCAGATGGCTCTGAAAGTAAATTTAAAATAGAAAAACCAAATTCCAACAGGACTTCACACACACCAAAAAGGATTTCCAAAGTGAAACCAAACGTGAAAATGTGGTCGGTGTCACAAGGAGTCAGAGGAATGAAAACTAAAACCACAATGAAATACTATTTTGTACCCACCAAAAAGACTAAAATGAAAAAGACAGAAAATCCCACAGCTCGCAAGGGGCTGAGACAATCAGGATTCACTGAAGTGCAAAAAAGACGATCCCTTTAGAAGTTTAACCCCGCGATCCAGCAATTCCACTCTAGATACGCATGCGCAACAAACATGTGTACATATATGCAACAGCTGCCGGTAACATCACCGCTGCCGGTAGCTCGAGACTAGAAAGCACGTAAGTTCTCACGAGCGGGATGAACTCACTGTAGTATAGTCAGGTGCTTGTGTGCTGCAGAGCAGTGAAAAGCATCTACTTATCACACAGACGCTCTGCCAAAGGGAGAAACAGCGGGTACTGCACAGTTACATTTGTATCAAGTTGCTTTTATAAAAACCAGACTAAATGTGGACCTGCAGATGGGGTAATGGTGACATCACTGGCCTCCCCTGTAGTTGACCGTGGTTCAAGTCCCAGACCCAATGGCTTCAAATTCACACTGGGCACGTGCATGCCCAAAACCCTGAGAAGAGACGGTAGGAGAAGGGATTGTGGCGTGGCCACTCCTTCCCTAGAGGGTGAGTTCTCGCTTTCTGTCTCTCTCTGTCTCTCTCTGTCTCTCTTCCAAGTACACACGTCCTATAGCAAAAATCTCTCTAAAATAAACAGACTAAATGAATCTATGGTATTAGAAACCAGAGCAGATAGACTGTGAATGAAAGGGGCCACAATACATTCCAGGGTATTGGCTGGTCACTTTTGTTTCTTAAGCTGGGTGTGGGTTACATAAGATGAAATTTTGAGAATCAAACTGAACACAAGACTTAGGAACTTTCGTGTATACATATTATGTTTTGATAAAAACCAAAAGATCAAAAGACTTCTTGAAGTCTTAACAAGAGAACAGTATGGGAAAATGAGAATTCTTTTTTTTTTAAAGAGGTTTTTGCTATAGGGCACGCCGCAATCCCTTCTCCTCTGTTCTCCTCTCAGGATCTTGGGCATGCACGCACACATGCCCGGAGTGAGTTTAAGCCACCGGGTCCGGGACTCGAACCGTGGTCGACTACGTGGGAGTCCAGCGACATAGCCATTACGCTAACTGCTGGTCCCAATGAGGGTGTTCTTAAGAGTAAAAGAGAACTGTCCTACTTAGGAATTCAAAGATCACAGGAGGCCCAGAGCTGGTGGTGTGGTGGTGAATGAAGGCAGTTGGATCCCACACGGCTGAGTGCACATTTCAAGTCCTGGACCCGGCAGCTTGAAGAACATGATGGGCGCATGTGTGTGCATTCCCAAAATCCCAAAAGCGAAAATGGAGAAGGGGCTGTGGTGTGGCCATCCCTCCATGGGGGCTGCTTTCTCACTCTCCCTCTCTGTCTCTGGTTCTCCCCAGTGAGCACACGTACCCTTCAGCAAAACTGAAAGAAAGAAAAACCAACCAACCAACCCATAGGAACTGTGAATTTGTAGAAAGCAAACAGTGAAGCAGGATGTCTCTCAGAACTCAGGAGAAATACATAAACAGACGAGTGTTGATAAAGCAAAAAAATCAAAATCAAAATCAATGACACATGAAAGGAGAGATTGGAAAAGTAATAACAATGGAGCTCTTTTTAAAAAAAATTTTTTTTTCCCTTTTAGAAAATGAAAAGTATGTGCACCCTTTGATCCACCAATTCCACCTCTAAGAGTTTCCGCGTGTGGGGGCCGGATAGAGGGGCAGCAGTAAAACACGATGACTTGCAAAGGCACTTCCACGTGGGAAGGCTCTGGGTTCACACCCGGACCTCCATGAGCATACAGGCACATGCACGCCCACGATCTGGGACTGGGGCTGTGGCTGGGTGTGGGTTAGTGGCATCCAGACCCTATTTGGAGTATTGTCTGTCGTCTGTCTCTTCCTCTCTCTCCCCCACCGTGCTCAGGGAAAAAAAAAAAAAAGACTTTTCAGGCAAGCTGTGTAGCACAGCGGTTAAGGGAGCCAGATCCCAGATCCCGCATGGCTGATTATAGTTTGAATGCTAACCTCAGCAGCTTGAAAAATAAGAAGAACATGTGTATGCCTGCCCCAAATTCTGATGAGATGAAAGAATGGAGGAAAAAGGACTGCAGTATGACTATACCCCATGGGGGGGGGGTGCTTTCTCACCTGCTCTCTCTCCCTCCCCCTCCCTTATTTGGTAAGCACACATGTCCTCCGGCAATAAAGAAAATTAATTCAAAAAATATTTTCCATATAGATCTATTTTTCTACCATTGCACATGGGCACAAAGACTGATGTTGTAAAGATGCTTATTGAAATAATGTTGGCAAGGGGACCAGCAGGTGGCGTGGTGGTTAAGGCACTGGACACTCCCACATGGCTGACTGCAGTTCAAATACTGGAACTGGTGGTGGCTTGCTTTCTCACTTTTCCCTCTCTCTCTCTCTCTGTCTCTCTGTGTCTCTCTCTCTGGTCAAATTAAAAGAAATTAATGAATAAATAAAATTAAATAAATAACTTTTTTTTAAAAAAAGAAATAATGTTGGCAAGAACAAAAAATGAGTAACAGCTGCCCGTTAATAGGGAATGCATTATAGAATTACAAAAAATTGTTTATTCTCTATCTATTAAAACAAGGAAGTACAGGTGCCAGCATTTGGCATAGTGGTTAAGGTGCTGGACTCCCATATGGACAATTATGGCTTGAGTCACACCGGCTGTGCACATGTGTGCATGCACACACGTGCATATGTGTGCGTGTGTGTGTGCACGCGTGTGCCCAAAATCCCTAGGGAAGAGTGGAGGAGAAGGGATTATGGCATGGCCACCCTCTCCCACAGGAAGTGATTTCTCACATTCCCTTTCTCTGTGTTTCTCTCTCTTGTAAGTACACATGCCCTATGGCAAAAACAAAACAAAAAATCTTAATTAAAAATAAAAAAGAAGAATGAGATATATCTGCTGTACTGATATGAACTGGTTTCCAAGATACTGCAATATATTTAGAAGGCAACATTCACGGCCTCAATAGTGGCATGGCACTAAAACGCAGTGTGCTGAGACTGATCCACAGGGAAGGTTCCAGCTTGGTGTCTGGAGACCTCCCTGAGCACAGTGGACAGGGGTGATGCACGATCTGGGGCTAGCTGAGGCCAGGAGTGGACTGCAGCACCAGGACCCCGGTGGGGGGTGCCGTTTTTCTGTCCTTCTCTGGCTCACTCAAAGAAAACAGAACATAATACCTAGACTGTAAGTACAGCACTTACGTTAAAAAAAAAACTACCGAAGATATGTGTGTGTGTGTGTGTGTGTGTGTGTGTGTGTGTGTGTGTGTGAGTGAGTGTATGTATGTATGCATCTGTATATGCATATAAAATTTCCGGAAGCAGGTCAGTGGGTGGTGTGGTGAAGGTGTTAGACTCCCACATGCCCAACCACGGTTCAAGTCCCAGACCTGGCGACC